TGGCCGCATCAGTATATAAATGTAGAAATGTTTCATATTTTAACTGCAATTTCGAGAAGGATGAACGAAAGATGTAACTGTCTGTGTCTGATTTAACCATTTCATGAAGTGAAAAGTCAACTTCAGGTGAATTCATGAGCCAGGGTGGAATTTCTATCCTCCCAAATGACTGAATTTGGTTGACATCAATATTTGTGTTTGGTAAAAGAGCGGAAATTCGAATACCAAATGATGGAATAGTTTTTGGTTTGCCTTGATACAAGGTTTTATCACGGACTTATATACACAGGGATAGGCAACTTGTCTTCAGCTCCGCATGTGTATTGTCCACCTTTTATATTTGCGCAGCGGAGCGTAACGACTGTCTGCCTCTCAATTTACCTTTAATCCTTCCTATCGCGCCTGCGCGGACCGCTTCTTTCGATTTCCGGCATTTTGTTTACATCAGCGACCGATGATGTGACATTGATTTGACAGCTCGATACACAGCCCAAATAATGCGTTAAATGAAACCATAATATGTGCTGATGGCGCCAGCCCGACGCAATCGTAAGGGAAGAGTGAGGTAAGTCTAAAACAGTCATTTCGTTTTAATCGAAGGAAGACTACAGTTATCGGAGCTTCAAAAAAAAAAAAAAGTTATCGGAGCTTCAAGAGTTAATGTCAAAAGAGTCTGATTTTCTTTCCTGGGATAGCGATATAGACTTAGATTTCTTACTGGAAGAATATACCGACTATGACAATGTAGAGAACGATTTGGAAAGTGATGTTGAGGAGTGTGTTGTGGTGAAAAAACGAAAATTAGATCAAGAAAACCTACCACCAACTACAAGAACTATTTATACTTGCCCTGTATGTAGTAAACAGCTAAAGACTATAGCTGGATTTCGTGGTCACACCTCTAGAAAACACGGGAGAAACGATTTAAAAGGTAGGCCTACATACATTAGTAGTATTTTCTGTTTCAGAAGATGCAAACTTCTTTTTATTTTTCTTTGATTCAGGTCAAATATTTGATAAGTATATATTTACTTAAACTCTCCTGCAGCACTTTAAATTTAATAATCATTATTGAGTGAAGAAAATAAATAATTTTATTATAATACATTAAATTAACAGTAGACTTGGTATTATTTTCCTGACCTCATCTCAGCAAAGAAAAAAAAAGAAGAAAAGAAACGCACAGTTATATTGAGTGGAACTTTACCTTTTAAGTGTAGATAAAAATGTAATTATAAATCTTCAGGAAGTAATAACCATATTCCGTTGTCATTTAGTTTGATGATAAATGTCAGATTCTTTGTCAAAGAGAAAACATTTTTGAGATGTGGTAATCATCTAACAAAAGGGAAAAGTGCATGATTTTCTTAAATTATCACCTGCAGCTATAGTATATGATACATTAATGTTATATTAATGAATTATTCTAAAATATGAAAGGATATCTATAAAATGCTATTCCAGGTAATGATAAATATGAAACTTCCTTGGTTCCAGAAAGTACCCATACAAGAGCTGCTTACTGGTGCATTGTTTATATCATCATCTTTCAACAGAAAATGTTTTCTATTTGTAATTGAAAGTTACAAATAGCTCTAGTTTATGAGATGACAATGACATAATTTCAATGATCAAAAACTGCATTATAAAGACAAGATGTCTGCATACCTGTAGTTCTTTAATTATCAATGCCCTTGCACAAAGTCTTTTCTGTTCAATTATATGTCTCAAACAGCTGAAATGACACCTTTAAATTAAATTTTATTAACAAATGGAAAAATGGGAAAACCTTGTCAAACTTGATTTTTTGTGTCGACTGATGATTTTCTTTTTTTTTTTATCAATTTATTATCTGATGACCTCTTTCTCCATCTTGCTCTCTCTATTTATTATCTGATGGCCTCTTTCTCCATCTTGCTCTCTCTATTTATTATCTGATGGCCTCTTTCTCCATCTTGCTCTCTCTATTTATTATCTGATGGCCTCTTTCTCCATCTCACACTCTCTATTCATCAATACATTTTCTTTCTTCATTCTATGAAAAATGTGTGAGTGTTGTCTGCGTGTGAAAATGTGCATGAGGAAAATGACAAATTCTTCTCTGCTGTCTGGATATTGTCTTTTGCTGATTTTGATTGACTATCAAGATTATAACAAGGTAGATGATTTTTATGATGATGGTTAAGATGATGATTAATAGCATGATGATGATGATAATGGTGTTATCATGAGAATGATAATATAATCAAAGGGAGGATGATGAATTTGTTTATAATAATGATGATGATTGATTAAAGCTGTATTCATAATTCAACAGTAAGACTGGATTTCAACTGTAACAAGTTAACTGTAAGACAGTAAATATTTTGTGACTTAATTCAAAACAAATACTTCAATGACATTATGGACAATCACAGAATCTTATTTACTTTTGTTTGGCTTGCTATGAATGACTAATTATGCACATTCTTTTACAAAGTTCTGTTTTAACTGTAATATCCCAAGCCATTTTATTTTGTAGTGAATTACAAATTAACTCGAGTTTAATTCAACATTTACTTGCACTCTAATGGTTTAAAGCAGATTAATCATATATTCTGTTGGTATGGGTACTTACACCACAAAATGTATATTTGTATTTTGAACTCTCAGTTCTTGTTTTGTCACAAAGATAGTTTAATGTAAAATCATTTAGTATGGTTACTGTATAATCATCCATATTTGTGGGGGTTCAATTTTAATGAATTTGAGTTACTATTGATTTACAAATTAACGAGCAAATTCGTGGAATTTATTTCACGTACATTCCCGGCATATTGGTGGTAAACAACTATGAAAAAAGTGGCAATCAAATTCAGTCAAGCACTTTATTCCTTAAACCTTGTTATCAAATATGAAGAAAATCTGTCAACATTTGTTAAACTTATTGCATGGAAACAAAGTGTGATGTTTTGTTAACAATGGGGCAATAACTCTGTCAAATAAACACTGACAAAAGTGACAATTGAACATTATTTAAAATCATTTAAAAAATTTAAAAATGAAACTATTGTGATTTTGCAAAAATTCAATGTTTACACTAAGATCACCCCCTGATGTTCTCATATATTTTTCAGCTAATGACAATAAAAGCCAGAGTGCCAGAGCCAGTAAAATCCCCAGTGACACTACCAGCAACTATCCAGTAGTGCAGGTTCCAGTCAAACAGGATACATGTGAGTTGTCACCAGACAGTTTCAAGGAGAGTTTCCGGGTAGCAGTACATTCACTGAAGGCTGACGAGCTGCAACAACTTCTTGGGGGTCCTAATTTTTCAGTGTTATGTGATTTCACTCTAGGGAACTGTTGTTTAGAAGATTTTTACTTCAGTTTATTCACAGACTTATTTTCATCAGGTATTGAAATTTCCTCAGCTCTGCAAAGGGAGTCTTTGTTAAGAAAATTACACACTGCTCGCATTAACAAGGATCTCAGGACAAAATACATCAATCTATACACCAGTTTAGGTTTTGAAATATCATCAGTTCATAACTTTGTACAAATACTTCTACTGACATTATTAGAGAAAATTTTGTCCACCCAAATATCAGTCAAGACTGCCATTTCTAAAGAGCGCCAACTGCAAATTTCTGATGGAGACCAGCAGATTCTGTTTTACATTTCTGGTTATATTTTGAAATCATTGAATCAAAAGTATTCCAAGTGTGAAAGTTTCAAAGACAGGTTAACTGTAGTGAATTCATTGCAAGTAGACTGTGTTCATCAGCCAACAACTTTCGTTACAAAATTTCAAACTTGGACGAGGAAGAAGGACAGAGGTGGTCTGAGATTTCCCTGTGACGATTTTTTCCTTTTGATACGCGAGTTAGAAATTGTTGTGAGAAACACTATTGAGGAAAACTGCCTAACGTCAAGTTCACTCAACCTGGAGCCATTGAAAGAGTGCCTGATGGAAGAGTTTATGGTGAAACACTACAGTTCAAAGATATTCAGTTGTGAGCTTGAGGAATGCCCAGAAACACCAACCAAGATTTTAGAAGATGTTGTCCATCTATTTCTTACCATAAGAGGAAATGCCATGGTGAGAATACAAAAAAACAAATTGGCAAAAGTCAATCTCAAGTGCCAACCTTCAAAAAGTCTACGTGGAAATTTAAAACAGTGATGTAAATTTCATTCATGTGGGATACATTCTAAGTTACTGTCGACTCATTCATTTATATTAGTGGGGAAATAGCTTCAGCTGATTTGTTTATACTATTTATTCTAAGAATTTCAGTCCATGATTTACTAAATTGATAGAAACAACAGAACTGTTGCTGGCATAGTATCACTTCTGCTAATCTGAGAAATTACAAAAGTTTGACATTCATTGAAACTTCAGCCTTCTAGATATATGATCACACAATATTTACTGTTTCTCAGCAATAAGCCCAAGTTAAGTAAATGCATGACCTGCCTTTGTTCATTGGGAGTTGAAAATATTTCTTTAAGACAACAATGTAAATAGTATTCATATTGATAAGGCACTATCTTGTTACAAGTCCACATCAACTTTTTATTTCATTTTTGTTCAAATAACTAAAGTTTGCATTTTTTGTTATTAAAAGTTCATCACTACTCCTGCAAGGTTGTATATAATTGTATGATTTGATTTATTTAAGACTTGATGGTGTTTCATGTGCAACCATTATAAACTGCAATAAAGTCTGTGTTCACATACAATGTATATATAATTTATGTTGGTACTTCAAAACCATTGAAATGTAATTAATTAAAGCATTACACAAAATGTCATAAATGAAATTTTTGTTTTTATTGGATATATATACATATTATACACACTTTCATACATCCTTACATATTATACACACTTTCATACATCCTTACATATTATACACACTTTCATACATCCTTACATATTATACACACTTTCATACATCACTTACATATACACACTTTAACTTAATGTACTTTTAAAGAAACTTCTGACAGCACACTTTAAAGAAAAGAACTGCTTCAAAGCAGTTACAAATTCAATCTTTTAACAAAATCTACAAAAAGTAAAATTGACATTCTGGTGCTAAAGTAATAAGCAAGCTGTACAAATCTACATTTTACATGATGTACATTCAACAACAAGACAACCATTACAGTCTCATAACATTTCTGCGTGGCAATCTGGTATTGTCAATTTGCATGTTATTGTCAACAGTTAATGTATTTCCTCTTTTGGGAACCAGTGCCTGAGCATTTATTGCACGGATTTGTGTAAGTGCATTTCTCACTTCATAAACAGAGGGGTTATTGTTGGCTCCTCCTTTGTGCCTGTGGTGACTAAAATGTTCCTCAAGAGGATCTTGATTAAAAGCATGAGTCAACACAAAACTTGCTCCGAGGTTCAGGATATATTTTACACATTCTGTGATTGATCTAACTGATGTTTCAAGGCCAGTAACAGTCTGATGACTCAGTAACATGCTAGCTTTCTCCGAAGTGGTCAGATTTGGTCTTCCATTCACATTGTTTTTCCACTGGTTCAGGTAGCCCAAGAAGTCATTTTTCAGCCAGTCCAATCTTTCATCTTGAGGATTTTCATATGGAGCTAGATTAGGGTTTCTTTTGTTCCTACCCTCAAAGTGGTTTCTAACATTCAAACAATCAAAGAATTTATTAATGTTTCGAATAAATGTCACAGTTTCAGAAACACTTTCATCATAGAGTTCCTCTAATGCATTAGCAACACTATCACTCATGACTTGTGCTGCAAGGCGGACTTTCATTCGGCTGAATGCTGTCAAATCAACATGGTTTCGTGAAAGTTCTGGGCAGGGTGTATATAAGTTGTTTTCACAATGATCTTCGTACAGCTTGACAATATGTCCCCAGGAAATGTCCTTCCCATCATTCCACAACTTCCTAGTTTTTGAGTGAGAAAATGAATTGCTGAAGCAGTTCCTAGTGGTTTTGAGAAGATGAGGGACATCAGACACGAAGTATATCTTTCTTGTCATGTCATGGGGATTATCTGTGTAGAAAACTGGTCCATCATTTCCAGGATCACTATGCAATTTGAAAAATCGTCGGTTTGCAGATGCTCCATCACATGTTAAGAACAGGACTTTTAAATTGACAGCTTCCAATATGTGAACAGCTTTCCAAATAATTGGAAACAAAAAGTCAGCTGTGATGCTCATAGTGGCAAATGCTGCCAAAGGAAATTTCAAGGCTGTTACAATACCTCTGACCATCACAATGAGCATGAATTTGGCTAAATCACGTGTTTTGTCATGATCTCTTTTCAGGAAAGATTCAAGATCCATAAATGCGTTTCCGACAGAGTCCAGATCACAGTATCCAATCAATTCCCCACTGTGTTTGTCATAAACAAGGTCCTGACGAATTTTAACTTCATCAAACAGAATTCCAACATAATTTGTCCACTTCTCCTTAAACATTCCTTTCTTTTCTGCTTCAGACTGTAGCACTTTAATAACATCAGCACTATATCCTATAGCACTTTCAGTGTAATGCGAATAGTCAAATAACGTTCTAGTACTGGGTAATTTGATAAATCCTGTTTCCCTCAATGCATCATACGCTTTTGATGACCGATGTCTAAGATAAAGGCACCATCGAATGATCATAGGGTGCCAACGCATGCCATTCCTTCCACTTTCATTGAATTTCATCTGTTGTTCCCAGAACAGTCTCTGCAATGAATTAGGATCCGCATATGATTTCTCCATCTCTGTTGTGCAGGTAGCCATTAAATCCGACATTTCAGCACTTTGAACAGGCCCAAGATTTAGTCCATTTGTCTGGATCTCACGTTGGCATGTTCTTTTTAATGCATCCAGTTCTGATTCAAGGGATCTAATCTTGTTTCTTTGCTGTTTTAATTTTGTTTGAAGCATACCATATGACATTGTCGCATGAGGGATTCTGCTATGAATAAAGTCAAAGTTTGCTGATTTAGACAATCTCTGCTCTTGGCGGTATTTCCTCTTGCGTAGACTTCTGCGATATGCTGAACAACTTGGGCATCTTGCTCCCTCTACCAACATACAACACTGAACTGTCCGTATGGTAGAACTGTAGGAAAGGTCTCCCTTACTTGCACAGAAGTCACCTTCCCGATAAGCCAAAACTGACAGCGAGTCTGAATCAGTTAATCCTACTCCTACTGGAACCAGTTCTTGAAGATCTTCATCTGGGTTGCCAACACACACACTAAATTTATTTATCCTTTGGAGAAGTTCATTCACTGCTGTAACCGTGGTGTAGGTAGCTGGCAGACAACTCCAAAGTTCATGATCAGGTGACAAGTCCTTCCGATGAACACTCACTGTTGCTGAGAAATCTTCACTGATGATCACAGATATTTTAACAGCTGTTTTGTTTCCTTTATGATAAAGTTCCAGAAGATTTATATTCCTGTGATGAGGGTTCAGCAGAAAGGGGGAAGCCACACCGGAAGTAAATATTTCATTTTTGAGAGAGGCATACAGATCAATGGGCTCAACATCAACGTCTTTAGATGATACGACAGTAACAGGGAGTAGACAGCCAGTATCCTCACTTGAATTTGTAACCAAGGTCTCAACATCATCACCAATAGACGTGTCATTTCTGAAAGAGGCGTACTGACGAAATGGCTGAAAATCATCATCTGAAGACATGTCAGTAGGATGAGGGCAAGCAGGATCCTCACTTGTGTCTAAGGAACTTGATGGGGGATCAGATGGGAGAAAAATTGGGGTATCCCAGTTACAACTCAGAGTGTCTAGGCAGTGGTTCTCTTGTGTAGAGCCTGTACCTGTTTCTGCAGGACTTTGTGCTGTGGATTTTGGTACCTTACTTGCATTATATGGAAGGTGCTGACCTCGTTTCTTGTGCTTTATGTAACAAGTTCCTCTCTTTTTCTTTGGCATGTTGGATCTGTAAATAAACAAAAAATGAATAAATGTAACCCATCTTTAAATGATAATGTCACAATATATATACAAAGCATGTCAATATTGCCATAATAATTACATATTGTGGTACGGTATTCCATTTATGCAGTGTTAAGTGTTAATCTAAACTGTGTTCATAGCATAGATGCACTTTAGACAACAAGACAATAATTTGATGCCATCTTGGTGCCATGTTGCTCTACATTACATCAACGCTTTGCGTGGCACTTCTGATAACACATGTACTGGCTTTATGCTAATCATTCAGTTGATTGTGATTTCGAAAATGCTCTTACAGTATGTTACCAAACAAACAAAAACAAGTGCACTGCAGGCGGAGGCATGATACGCCCGTCAAACCCTTTCAGAAATCAATTATGTAATTCCAATTACGGGAAAAGTGAAAACGCAACAAGAAAACCTTTAAGATGTTAAATATTATTGCTTAGTGAAGTAAAATACCAAATTTGAGGGGTAGTGAAGAAAACAAAAAAAGTTATGACATTTTCTATATAATACCCTTAAATTTCTCATTTTCAAAGTCCCAAAGGGCCATAACTCAGGTTAAACTGCTTTTCAATAAATCACAAGTTCATATCATGGTGATTATATCTACCAAATTTAAAAGAAATCTGTTGAAAACTGTAGGAGGAGATCTACAGACAAACAAAAGTTTACGACGGACAGACGGACAACCCCATACCATAATATGTCCTGTTAATTTTTATAATTTTTTTTTTCTAAAAATCAGCCTAACCCCCTGAACAGGAGGACACATGTAACAGGACGTCCAGGAGATCTACAATCTCCAACCTCAAGCAATTAATTTGACACAGTTTATTACCTATTAGTCTGTGATTATGATCAGGTATTATCATATCAACTTTAGAAAAACACTGGTTATAGTTGTTGTTCCTTTACTTACCCGAACAGAAGCCAATCTACTGTATTACAGTAATGTACCGACTGCCTTTTTGGTTATCCTTAAAATATATTAATGGAGCCGGAATTTAAATTTATTTTTGAAACTATTAATTTAAAAAGTAATTTGTTATGATGATATCATTATTGCAATCGATATTTCACCTTTTTTCATTTAAAAAGAAGAAACCCGAAATGACTTTTTGTTTACAAAATTATAATTTCTTGTTATCATATTTTTTTCTTGATTGTTTTACCTAATTTTCATGAATGAAACCAAACTTTCAAGTATCTTTTTCAACATTATTCCCTCTTCAGTTTATGGGCTTTCACATGTACATACAATCATAATTTGGGAACCTTTGGAAATAAATTTCAATATATAAGAACCATGATCGATAGAATCTACATATATACATGTATATTTCTTTCACCCCAAATTACACCGTGTTATGAAAAATATTTTACAACATGTTATCAGTTGCAACAAATCAGAGATAAAAAGGTCTGTTAACCGGATATACTGATAATTTGTTGTTCAAAATAAACCAATTACATCCCCCCCTCTTCAAATCAATCTATGGCACATTGTTTTGTTTTCATAGCAACTTCATTGAATTTATTAACAGCGAGATAAAAAACATATATCTTTCATCTTAATATCTAAATACAACTGCATCTATGTATAATGCAATGATAACATACCAAGCAAGAATCGTGGATTGTTGATAAATATTTTTTCAGGCGGCCATGGTGGGAATTTTCGGCACTTTTACATAACGATTAATAGATTAACTTCAGAAACATGGATGATTAAAATGGACATCAATGAAGCATTATATGTCATCAGTTAATCACTCTATCAGCTATTTAAGAAGTCTTATGCGTTTAAAATCTCGTGTTTATTGATGACTGATCATCCGCCATTTTGGAAACACTCGGAATTCCTCCCAATTTCAAATAAAGATTACCCTATTAAATGTAGAAAAATATCAAAATCTGATGCGATCGTTGATTAAAATGGATATCAAAGAAGAATGATATCACATCAGTTAATCACCCAATAAGCTATTTAAGAAGTTTTATACGTTTAAAATCTCGTGTTTCTTGATGGCTGATCATCCGCCATTTTGGAAACACTCGGAATTCCTCCCAATTTCAAATAAAGATTACCCTATTAAATATAGAAAAATATCAAAATCTGATGCGAGCGTTGATTAAAATGGATATCAAAGAAGAATGATATCACATCAGTTAATCACCCAATAAGCTATTTAAGAAGTTTTATGCGTTTAAAATCTCGTGTTTATTGATGGCTGATCATCCGCCATTTTGGAAACACTCGGAATTCCTCCCAATTTCAAATAAAGATTACCCTATTAAATATAGAAAAATATCAAAATCTGATGCGAGCGTTGATTAAAATGGATATCAAAGAAGAATGATATCACATCAGTTAATCACCAAATAAGCTATTTAAGAAGTTTTATGCGTTTAAAATCTCGTGTTTACCCTATTAAATATAGAAAAATATATCTGATGGTTGATTAAAATGGATATCAAAGAAGAATGATATCCGCCATTTTGGTTTTATGCGTTTAAAATCTCGTGTTTAAAATCCCAATTTCAAATAAAGATTACCCTATTAAATATAGAAAAATATCAAAATCTGATGCGAGCGTTGATTAAAATGGATTTCAAAGAAGGATTATATGTCATCGGTATATCGTTCAATCAGCTATTGAAGAAGTTTTATACGTTTAAATTTCCGTCGTTTGTGGGATAACAACAAAAATGGCTGACTGCGATCGAGCATGTAAATATTAGACTTCAATTATACCTTTTTGTTCAATTCAGTTAATGATTGATAATATGACGTATTAGAATGACACCACCAAATGCCGAAAACATAAGAACACTTACCATTCATACAGTCAATAACGCAGGGGAAATCGATGTTGAAAGGGCGTTCAGGACTCGTTCGGTTGTAGAAGATGGCGAAGCGATGTTTTTTCTCCAAATCGCGTAAAATCTCGCGACGCGAGATCAGGAAAGTGACCCGGGAGATATTCGCTTCGATAAATTTGCATGTATAATGTTTCTATTTTAGTGACTTTAAAAGGTAGTAGAATACCGGCTTGTAAAATGTAGATATTTACATCCGTAGTTGATAAAATAATATTCCTTATGTCTTGAAATAAAGCCCATTAAGCCTAAGTAAAACACTAAACTTAGTATAATTACTTAGCT